CCGCATGCGAACTTTGCCACTGGGGCCTTCGGTAGAGCTCCCTATGGGGCCACGAACCGTGCGAAGGGGTGCCAAAATGGAGGTGGAACCGCATGCGAATTTTGCCATTGAGACCTTCCGTGGAGCTCCCCATGGGGCTACGAACCGCCAAAATGGGGGTGGAACCGCATGCGAACTTTGCCACTGGGGCCTTCGGTGAAGCTTTCTATGTGGCCACGAACCGTGTGAGGGGTGCGCCAAAATGGAGGTTGAACAGCATGCAAACGTTGCCACTGAGGCCTTCGGTGGAGCTCCCTATGGGGCTACGAAACGTGTGAGGGGTGTGCCGAAATGGGGGTGGAACTGCATGCGAACTTTGCCACTAGGGCCTTGGGTGGAGCTCCCTATGCTGCCACGAGCCGTGTGAGGGGTGTACCAAAAAATTAGGGTGGAACCGCATGCGAACTTTGCCACTGGGGCCTTCGGTGGAGCTCCCTATGGGGCCACGAACCGTGTGAGGGGTGTGCCGCAATGGGGATGGAAACGCATGCGAACTTTGCCACTGGAGCCTACGGTGGAGCTCCCTATGGGGCCATGGAGGCGGAGCCGCAGGCGAACTCTGCCACTGGGGCCTTCGGTGGAGCTCCCTAGGGGGCCACGAAGCGTGTGAGGTGTGTGCCGGAACAGATACACGCGGAGGGCAGAGGCAAGGAGGGAGGAGGAGGGAGGGGGGGGGGAGGAAGGAGGCGGAGGGAGAGCGTGGGGCGCTGTGTCTTCAAGACGAGGAGGCTGCGGGAGGAGGGGGGAGGAGGATAGGGAGGAGGCGGGGCGCGGGGCGCTGACTCTTCAGAACGAGGACCGGGCATCACAGGAGGGTTGGGAAACACAGGCGGAGGCGGGGGCGAAAACCAGCACAACGAAGCATGGGCAAGAGCGGCCCTGCCGCTCCCAATCGCCACCCCTCCTGCCGTGCAGCCGCGAGGCGGGCGGGCGTACAGTTGGCTCGTCGAGCAAGGCAGGGGCCCGCCAGCAGGTGCCTCTTCGGAAAGCGCGCGTGCTCCGATGGCCTGGTCGCGAGGGCCGTCGCCAGCGCGTTCGAAGGGCCGACGGGCCGCACCAGGACTGGTGATGGGCCTGCTTTCCACCACCGCCACCAGAAGTTGGAGGGAGGAGGGAGGAGGACGAGGAGGAGGAGGAGGAGGAGGAGGAGGAGGAGGAGGAGGAGGACCCCCTCCCCCTGCAACTTATGGTGGTGGTAGTGGTGGTGGTGGTGGAAAACCGGCCCATCAATTGGGGCACATCAGGTAACGGGAAAAGACCAGGGGCAACGATAGGGATGGATTGGTACAGGGGGGGACGCATCGACCCCCCCCAATCGCCGATCGATCGCCGATAGGGTCCCGATAGCCCCGACCTGCCCGGGAGACTGCGGATTCACGATCGGGGGCCTATCGCCGATCTGTCGGCGATGTATCGCCGAGTCCAGGTCGATGTTTCCCCCCCTTTTGATGCCCATCCCCCCCCCTGTCGTTGCCCCTCAAAAGAGGAGGGCGGCCACGGAGGAGGAGCGCGGAGGGGCGGGGGCCTCGGGCGCAGATCGTGCCTGCCACGAGGAGGGCGCAGGCGCAGGCGGCCCCATGCACCGACGAGAGCTGGTGCACGGGGCGGAGGTGCACAGAGCCTTCTCGCAGAGCTTCCGTCGGGGTCTCGGGGCCCTTGACACGGGGCCCCTCGGAGCCCAGCGGGGACTCTGGTCTTCGGGACGGCCCTGAGATCTCCAGTGGGCACACCAGGCAAGAAGTCCACCTGTCAGCAGGTGCCCCACGGAGCTCTCTTCTCCCCAGAGGGCCCCAGGGACCCACAGAAGCTCTGAGGCACTGTAGGTCGTGGAGCATGTTCGTGGCCGAGGCTCGCCGTGGCCAGAAAAGCCCCTTCGTTCCTTATCCACCGCCCCTTCTTGCAGCACGATGGCTGCATCACCACGCTGGAGATGAGGGGTGTGCGCCTGCCGACGGCCCCGAGGCGGCTCCCCACAGCCCAGGCACGCGACACTGTCTTGTTTGATTGCAAGGCCCGTCCCCTGAAGTCTCGACCCGTCAGACAATCAGTACGCTCTGCCCCAACTACTGAAAGCGCACGAGCGGATTGCCTCTGCCGCGCCGCGACGGAAAAGAAGTCCCGACCTTCCCCCAGGGCCGTCTTTGCATCTCGGGTGGCTTTTCGGGGTCCTTGAGCCGGGGGTCAGTTCAAACGGGGGCCAGTCAGAGCGCCAGATCTTGCAGGATCCTGCAGGGCCAGGGATGCACTGACCCGGGCCTGGGCGCAGGATCCTGCAGGATCTTGCAGGATCCTGCAGGGCCTGACGGAACGGGGTTCTGGATTGACCCAGAGCAGAAGATCCCCGCTGCTTTCTGCAGGCCCCCGGGCCAGGCCATGGCCCCCAGAGGCCAAAGACGACGAGGACCATCCGTGCAGGAGGGAGCATGCGGCGGCGGCGGCGGAGGAGGGGGAGGAGGAGGAGGAGGAGGAGGAGGAGGAGGCGATGTGTCCCCATACGCTAGACCCCTGGGAGGTCCTCCGCCGCCCCCAAAGCGGCTCAGCACGGGCACACGGTCGCCGTGTACGCAGCCTCGAGCAGCAGCAGCAGCAGCAGCAGCAGCAGCAGCAGCAGCAGCAGCAGCAGCAGACACCCCGGGTCGCTCGCCTCGGCCCAGAGCCAGCAACACCCTGGAACACCAACCGCCTCTCGGCTTTGGCTCGCTTGCTCGCTCCTCCTCCTCCTCCTCCTCCTCCGTATCCTCTTCCTCCTCCTCTCGCGCCTCGTTCTCCTCCTGCTGATACTCATCCGCATCCTCCTGCTTCCTGTCTCCCTCCAGCTTATTCCTTCTCTTACATCTCTTCCCCCTCCTCCTCACCGTCAGCCTTCCCTCTTGCTCCCCTCCCTCTTCCTCCTTCTCCCACCCCTCCAGCTCGTCATCCTCTTGATCCCCCCTCCTTCTCCTGCCCCTCGCTGCCCTGTCTTCGTCCTGCCTGGACAGGTCCGCGGGCTCGTTACCTTCCTCTCATTTGGGTTTTGAGTCGGGTTTCCCCCGTTCGTTGAGCCTTGCCCAGGGTTTCTATCAATGAGGGCCCGTCCTTGCACCCAACTGCAACTCCGAGCCAATGCTCCTCCTCTTCCTCCCCCCTGAGGAGGATCGATGAGCTCGACAAGCCATGGACATGACTGCGAGGGGAGTGGCGGGGTAGAGGACAGGGCGAGGGGGACTTTTTTTTTCCGGGCGTCGGTTCGTGATCCCCCCCCTCCGCCCCTGTCGCTTTGTCGCCTCTGCGGTTCGTTGTGTCTTGCCCCCCTCGGCTTCGTGCTCCTCTCTTCATCTTGCACGGAACCTGGGGAAACCAAAAGGTACCGATGCCGCTACTCCTTGGGCCTCTCCCGGGGCGCGTTCTCACCAGAATGATGCAGCGAGTTCGGCGGTGGCGACGAGGGCCACCCGGGAAGCCGAAACCAGGGGGGAACCGGGCGAAGGGCAGCGGTATGGACACCTTGCCTTCCAGCGCCGCAGTTTCCACGGCAGTGGCTGCCGCAGTCGTGGCGACTCGCACCCAAGAAAGGCGTCGTCGGCCTCGTGCTGCTCGGCGCACGCGCCGACCGCCTTCAACCTCAAGCGAGGCCCCCGGACTCCCCGGCACGATATGCGAGATGGACAGCAAGCTGGCGTGTGCGTTGTCTCCCTCTCGCCTCTTCCTCCCCCCCTCCCCCCCAAAGAAAAAAAAAAAAAGCCTTCAACCTCAAGCGTGCAAAGCCCAGCGAGGACGAGCTAAACATTTATTTTCAGCGTCGGCCACGGGTCGGCCCCCGCAGGAGCGGCGCGGGAGCGGCGCGTTTCCGCGGCCCCCCGTGGGGGCCGGAGCGTCCCGCCCCTCGCGGGGCCGGCAGCTGGAGCACAGCCCTGGAGGCCGAGTCGGGCCTGCCCCCCCACGGGGGGGAATTTCGGGGGAGAAAAAGATACGGATACGTGTTGTCCCCCTTCGTTTTCGGCCTTTCCTGGTCCTCCTGGGGAATCCTCGTTGTCACCGCTGGATTCGCCTCGAAATTCTGGTCAGAACGCACCCCAAGAGAGGTCCGGGGACAACACGTATCCGTATCTTTCCGCCCCCCAAGAATTGCAGGCGCTCGCAGACATGGATCCAGGGGGCGTGGATTGGCGATCGGCCCCGCTTCCCTGGGAAGTCGCGGAGGTCCGCCGCCGAGCGAGGCGGCGCCGGCGCCGCATTTTGGGAAAGGCACCTCTCCTTCGATGCATGGATTTGGCGACCGCGCGCCAAATCCATGGATCGCTAATCCATGTTTGTGCGCCCCCTAGAACTACACCAGAGAAAAAACCCAATCAGTGGATGGTTTGGAATGGGATCGATAAATAGATCTATAAGGAGATCGACCAGGAATCCGGGAACCTGGCACCCACCGAAGTCGGCCTGGAGCCAACAAACAGGAACCCTGGAAACTGGAACCGGGAACCCGGGAACCCAGCCGGCTACCAACATCGGCGGGAAATTTTCGCTAAATCT